CAGTGGGAAGGAAAAACTCCCTTTTAACAGGAAGAAACCTCCGGCAGAACCAGGCTCAGGGAGGGGCGGCCATCTGCTGCGACCGGTTGGGGTGAAAATCAAGCATCACACTGCACGCGACTAGTTTCTCCATACAGGAGGCATCTTGAAGCCGTCATCACCAGCAAAAACTTTTGTACAAAGTGGTAATTGCATTTCGGTAAGCATGTTCAATACCTTTTTTTGGTGTCATTTCTCATTATTACACATTAACTACTTAATTTATAGATAGATAAGATACTTTTATTGATGCCCATGGGGAAATTGACTTACAGCAGAAGACACCTGACATTCAAAAACACCACATAAAAAACAAACACAACTCCTTAAAAAACATAAGCACACAATATGTAGACACTTTGGCTTTCCTTACATCTTAGGGATGATTTTATACCACACCAATTTGGCAGCCTATGTGTTGCTCATGTTCAGAATGTTGATGGCTTGAGGAAAAAAAGATCATTTGGACGTATTTTCTGTGAACAAAGTGGGACAATAGCGCTGTGCAGATGATAATAGTCCAATAATAGAAAAGGTACGTGGATGCCTTACATCACTCACAATATTATTTGCTTTACTCCATACCCAGTCCCTAAAAATGCTTTCTAAACTTGCAGTTTAGAAATGCAATAGCAATGCAGTTCCAAGCAACTTACCAGCTAGTATCACTGTCTTTCTAGTCGCCTTTTTCTGTGCCTCAGAGACATTTTCCAAACCAACAAATAATACAAGAACTAAACACACTTTTAATAAAAGCCCAACAAAACATATGAAGCATTTTAGTTATGTTTTATGGTCGAGCATAACACCAAGACATTTGTATTCAGACACACACTGGATCAGCTCTCCATTTATGAATTTAAGCTGGGATAATGGATTCCTCCTAAAATCTACTGGTATTTGGTCTTTGTGGTGTTGAGGACAAGATTTGCCCTCTCACACCATTTAATAAAATATTCAAGAACTGGCCCATCCTCCCCATCATACACGAGGCTCTCTAAAGCTGTATCATCTGCATAATTAATAAAAAGTCTGTTTTGAAAGGTGCTATTACAAGACTTGGTAAACAACAATGGAGATAAAACAAAGCCCTGAGGGGAACCTGTTGAAATGGTCAGTTTGTCAGAAAGTTGAGTTACCATTCTGACCAGCTGTGTTCTACTCCAAAGAAAATCAATAAGCAAAAATGATTTTCCCAATTTATCTGCTAAAATAATCAGTAAGCTTGTGTTAAAAGCAGAGGAAAAGTCCACAAATAAAATCTTGGCATGAGTCTTTGCTTTTTCAGATGAGCATGTAGTAAGCAGCAAAATTAATACAGCATCTTCCACCCCTCTCTAGGGTTGATAAGAAAATTGCATGAGGTCTATAAGACCTTGAGTTTTCGATACCATGTACCTCTTCACCACATGTTCAAAACATTTTATGACCAGAGATGTGGGTGCAACTGATCTGAAGTCTTTTGGACCCAAAGGTCTAGGGAACTTTGGAACAGGAACAGTTACTGACACTTTCCAGATATTTGGTATCGTATGACTGTTAAAAGAAAATCAAACAAAAAACAAACACGTGCCGTAGCAGGAAAAAAAATCTGCATAATAAGCTTGCGAGCAATTCAAAACGAAAGTGTTGTAAAACATACCTCCATCGAGACACAGTTTGGACCTCCACTCCACAGGAAGGAACTCTACATGCTCTGTGGTGCGATCTGAGAAGTGTTTTTCCTCCATCTTTCTGGCAGCATCTCTCATCCTATCCAGCAATTAAAAATAAATAAATAAATAAACTGTTACTTCCAAAATTACTCTAATTTTAATTTGTTATCTGTTCTTGCAATGGAAACACCATAATTTCTCACATGCTGGTGTTCCTGATAATGCGACCCTGGTCCATCTTCTGGCCAATGCCATGCACCACAAATACAATGTGTGTGGTTTCAGGTGGGGTGTCTTCAGGTGCAGCCTCTTCCACGTACCCTCGATGGAGACGTGTCCCACTGCTGGAGGCTGCGTACGTGAGAGACAGGTACAGGGCTGTGAAAAAAGTATTTGCTCTCTTCCTGTTTTTTTTAGTCCATCCAGCCATTCATCCATTTTCTTCTGCTTATCCAGGGCCAGGTCGCGGGGGACGCAATTGAATGCCTTCTTCACATGTATACTGGTTGTCAAACTCCCATGCAACCTCAAATATCCTCAAAAGGATAGGGAGCTAGTCCAGTGTTACGTGACCAGGACGAAAAATGCACACACACACACACACACACACACACACACACACCCATAGTTGGAGAACCACTCTGGTCTGCCAATACAATGGTACCACTTGAAATCGCCACATGACATTGTAGAGGCATGTCAACCAAGACAGCCTTACAACATCCAGAGCCTTCAGGGCCTCAGGGTGAACCTCATCCGTCCCAGGGGCTCTGCCACCAAGGAGCTCAGTAGCCTCACCCCCAATGATGAATGAGTCATGCCCCTCATCTTCCTCTATGGAAGACCTTCCAGTGTGATTAAGCAGGTCCTCAAAGTATTCCTTCCACTGCCTAACAATATCCTCGGTTGAAGTCAGCACACCACCCCATTATTCACCATGTGGGTAGAGCACTGTTTTACCCCTCCTGACTCACATGACGGTTTGCCAGAACCACTTCAAGGCAGTCCAAAAGTCTTTTTTCATGGCCTTACTAAACTCCTCCCTCACCCGAGTTTTTGATTTAGCCACTGCCACATTCCACTTGTCCTGCTGGGACCCATCGGCTGTCTCCAAAGTCCCACAGGCTAACCAAGCCGAGTAGAATTCCTCACCAATGAAGGTGCGGAACATGATCCGTTCTGACTCAATGTCCCCAGTCTCCCTCGGAATGCTGTCGAAGCTCTGTCAAAGGTGGGTGCTGAAAATCCCACATCAGCGTTGAAGTCTCCCAGTAGCACAACAGAGTCCTTAGCTGGAGCACCCTTAAGAACCCCACCCAGGAACTCCAAAAAGGCCAAGTATTCTGAACTGTTGTTTGCCACATAAGCACAAACAACAGTCTTCATCCGTTCCCTGACGCAAAGGCATAGAGAACAAACACTTGCACCCACAAGGGAAAAATCCAACATACAGGCAGCAAGCCAATGAGATACCAAGATACCCAGCCCACTCCCTCTCACCAATGGCAACTCTAAACTGGGGCAGAGTCCAGTCCCTCTCAGGGAGACTAGTTCCAAAACCCAAAAGATTCAATTGAGGTGAGCCCGATTATATCTTGCCAGTTGCTCTCAACCTCATACACTAGCTCAGGCTCATTCCACCAGACAGGTGACACTCCATGTCGTGATCACCAGCCTTGGTAGCCAGAATTGTTTAAGTTTGCTGCACAAATGTTTAAGAACATAAAACAAATTCTAAAATAGAATTGAGGCCTTGAGGCGACATTTGTTGCGATTTGGCACTATATAAATAAAATTGAATTGAAATTGAATTGAACCTGAGTAAATAAAAAATCAGCTCAATATCACAAGCAACACACAGGTCTGGTTAATACCAGAGCTCCTGGGACGGATAGGCAAAAAAAACCTATTTTGAATATCAAAACAGCTAAAGAATCAGCTGAGAAACAAAGTCACTGACATCTACCAGTCTCAGAAGGGTACCAGCAAGTCCACCTCTGAATGGCTGAAAAAAACAAAAACAAAATTAAGGTTTTGGAGTGGCCTAATCAAAATTCAGAGTTTTTGTTGAAATTTTGTTTAGTTCCATGACATATTTCAGCTCAGAAGGACACTAAAACATTCTCCTCGTCTTTGCAACAGCTGGAGTTCCTTGGTGACTACTACTGTCCTGTTTCCCTGATATTGAATATCAGCACTACTCACCAGGTCAGCTTCGTGGGGTGCACCCCATTTCTCACCCAGTGACAGCTGGGATAGGCTCCAGGGTCAGATGACCCTGAATTGGATAAGCAGAAGAAGATGGATAGAATTCTTGGAATAGACAGAAAGTGTTAATCATCCTATATACCTTTAGAGAAGCCCAGTTTCTGAGTTACAGTACGTGCAATCTTCGAGGTGGTGGCATCGCTGTACAGATACACCTCATCCACACTGTGCCAGTCCACATGACTCCTGTTCAGCTTCAGACTGTGGATAGCTGTGAGAAGTCACACTGTAATTAAGAGCAACTGACATAATTCATGCAGAATAATTAATTCACCAACTCCCATGACAGTATGCAGAATTGGAGTTAATGGGATCACTGCATTTTAAAATGTGTTACTTTTTGTTGATTATGAAAATATTTGACTTGTTATATATTCTTATTCCCATGGACAGGTATAACTGCTGTGAAAACAGAATTTCCCAAATCTGGAAATATCTTATTTTACTACAGATTTTAGAATCAATAAACTCATGCATTATAGCATCACTTGACTTGTTTTGTGAACTTGCTATAAAAGACAATTCTGGCCAACAGAGACACACATCTACAGACATGGTTGCAAACACTCATCTTCTTTGCCTGACACACACACAATGGCATCTCTCTGTCTTTCCTGTCTGTTTTAAATTCCCTACCGTCCTTGCTGTCCACTGTGGTGGTCACTGCCTCGATCTCATAGGTGTCCCTCATCTGTTGCCCCCGGAAGCGTAAAAGGTGTTCCTGCTCAATCAGATCACTCTCATCCTCCTCCAGTGGAAGCCAAGTTCCATCAATGAACCACTGGCCCCTCATCACAGGAATTCGGTCTTGCTCTATGGAACAACATGTGAAGAAAACAAAAATTGTAATCTAAGACAGAATGTTGGATCCCAGTAACAGTAAAGAGGAACTAATTTTGAAAACATCAAACACAAAATTTTAAGTGTGTGTGTGTGTGTGTGTGTGTGTGTGTGTGTGTGTGTGTGTAATCTAAGAATACTAAGCAAATGTGTAATTATAGGTTCAATTTAGATTCGACCCCAATTAGTTCATTAATATATTAATATATACACTATCATTAAAAAGTTTTAGAACATCCCTACAGAGAAATTGCAAAGAAAGTGAAGATGTACAGTACAGTTTCCTTCACCAACAAAAGGCACTCAGAAACTGGGGCAAACGCTGACAGGAAGAGGTCTGGCAGACCTATAGCCACAACTGAATCAGAGGACAAGTTTCTGAGAGTTAACGGCTTGTGTGATAGTCGGCTCATGGGACAACAGCTTCAAGCACAGCTTAATAGTGGTCATAGTAAGCAAGTATCACTTTCAACTGTGAAGAGAAGACTTCGAGCTGCCGGTTTGACAGGACGTGTTGCAGCAAGAAAGCCATTGCTAAGAAGTCAGAATAAGACAAAGAGGCCATGAAACACAGCCATTGGACTACTGAACACTGGAAGATGGTATTATGGACTGATGTGGAAGAGGAAGTGTGATGGTCTGGGGCTGTTTTGCTGGATCCAGACTGGTGACTTGTACAGAATAAGAGGCACCCTGAACCAACACGGCTACCACAGCATTCTGCAGCACCATGTAATATCCACTGGTATGTGCCTAGTTGGTCAAGGGTTCATCCCACAGCAAGATAAAACATAAGTCCAAGACCAGACCAGGCCAGGCCAGACCTACCTCAGAAAAAAGAACAAGATAGTAAGCTTGAAAATATGGAGTGGCACAGTCCAGACCTAAACTCCATCGAACTGGTTTGGGATGAACTGGACAGAAGACTGAAAGCAAAGCAACCTACAAGTACCACACATTATGGGAACTTGTGCAACAGATATGGGAACTTTGTGGAAAAATATTTTATGTCTATTGTACAAAGAATGTCCCGGGTTGGTCAGCTGTTATATCTGCCAAAGGGGGCTACTTTGATGAGTCAGAAGTTTAGAATAAATGTTGGTCTATAAATTAATTCCATGGTTTCTTTTTTTAACTCTAATTGCTTATTTGTACTATGCTTTCATTTCAGAGTGTAATAGGAGAATAAAGTGCATAACTTTCAATAAAAAACTAGAAAAATTGCAGTGTTCCAAACCTTTTGACCAGTAGTGTGTATATATGTATTCCTGCTCTCTGCTCTACATCCCTGTAAAGTATTGCTGTTGTGTTGGACAAAGTCTTGAGAAGTCTCCTTCTAATATACGACTAATTGTGCGGAAACAACTGTATTATTGTCTCGTTTCAAAGAGCATGTCTAAAAACATGCTTGTTAAGTGAACTGGTAGTTGGAACATGGCCACGGATGTGAGGCAGATAAAGTACTTAATGTGTACAGAATAAAGCGCTGTGTGAATGCATGGCTCAGTGTGGCTTTTGGTCTAAAGCACTTTGGGTGGTCAGTAAGACCATGACGATGTCAGTAACAGAGGACGTTTTTGCAGCAGCCTATTAGCGCAGTCATCAGACCTCAGTCTAACAGTACAGAGGTGACAGAGGTTTAATTTTCTTAGAAGTGGTCAAAGATACTGACAGCAGAACACGTGCTAACAGTCCTAACAACAGCTATGTTATTACTGAGATGCTCACGGTTCCAATAAACAGGGTAGCATTCCTTTTCTTTGATATCCACTTCATAAAGGCCCCCTCTGACACACACTGCCTCCACGCTGGTGCCGCCGTTGTGGACCGGCTCTGTGATTTGCTCTGACACTGAGAGCTGTTGCACTGCCGGTTCCGCCCTGAAACTTGTACTGTCCACGGCCGAGCTTTCCGGCTGCAGCTCAGAGGACCCGGTTGTCTCCTTTTCGTCGGCTTCATTGGGATCCACGGCCTTATCCTGGTTCTGGTCAACGAGCCGCCGGTAGATGATCTCGATTTTTAAAGAATCGTGTCCGACGAAAGGCTTCCACGTCCGTTTGTCCTCTTTGTAAAACCAGCGGACCTCCTCTGGTCCCAGCTCTGTAACGATGTCACCGCGGTGCCGGGAGCTGTTGGACCGGATGCGCTTTTTGGTTGTAAGGTTGCCATCGCTTTCGGTGTAGTTTGGCTCGAAATCCAGATAGGATGAGGCAGAATATTCAACCCGATCCAGGCCCAACATCATCCCATCCAAGGGCAGACGCGTGTCCAGTAAGCTGGACTGTGCCGACTCCTGGTCCCCATCACCGATGCTGTCCGATAACACGCTGTCGTCAAAACCGGACACAAACACATCGTTTGCCATGTCCCACTCACTGCTGCTCACAGAGTTATTCTCGGAGCTCTGCTGCCGAATAGTCCCCTTTTCCTTTATACTGCTCATTTTTAGAGTCCACAGGAAAACTCACAATGATGTCCTCCCACCAGACCAGTGGACCCGATTAACGGTTTACTTTTCTGCACCTATACTCACTGTCTTTCTTGCCATTATAGCTACACATTAAAGCTGAACAAAGTAAAGATAAATCCCTGCTTTCCTGACCCCATTTGCATCCCCCTTTCTCTGATAATGGCTGGAATAAGCACAATAAGCTATGATGGGATTCGCAGTCGCTCCCTAGTGTTAGGTAAAATACGAAAAGTGCAACTTCCTGTTCAAACGTTCAAAATAAACAGATTTTTCACAATAAGACGAATATTGTAAACCCAAATAACGCGTGCGAGCAGGGCGCGCACAACGCGCGTGCGTCCTGCGCGCGGTGAACTTACACATCCATCTACAGACCTTTAATTTGAAGATCAGTCTGTTTTTTGACTCGTTTATTCAAAATCAGGTCAAACAATCGTCTGACATTTCATCTTATACTGTTTAGAATTTTGCTAAACTGACTATTAATCTGTCGTCGTGTCAAAATTAAATTCCAAAATACAATTGTTTGTAATAGCAGGAATCCCACGGTGCATCCAGTTCAATTAAGTTTTATTTATGCTTTTACTGACTGTGAAGCACTATGGTCAACACTGTTGTTTTAATATGTGCTATATAAATAAATTTTGATTTGATTTATACAGCGCCAAATCACAACAACAGTCGCCTCAAGGATCGCTCGACCATCCAGAAAGTATTTACAGCGCTTCACTCGTACCAAATTTTGTAATGTCACAGCCTTATTCCGAAATGGATTCATGACAAAGTGAAAAACGTTTGCTTGAGGATTCCAGTGCGCGCAGTGACCTCTATCATCCATAAATGGACTCTTCCTAGAGTTGGCCAAGCTGACCTATTTGTTAACAGTGCTCACAACAATTTTTCGAGTATGCAAATATCTCATAAACAGAGAGGCCATGTGAAATAAACGGAACCTAAACTCCAGTCTCAAACAGTCAAACATCATGCCCCAGTCACACACAATATTACATCCATGAGGAAAGTTTATCAGCTGAACAGCACATGGCATGCAGTTTCAGATTCAGGGGCAATTCTAGGATCAAATCTTTAGGTGACTCAGCCCCTGTTCATAATGTCACGCATAAAGTCCTGAAATTAATATTAATTGAATATTCTGCTTTCACACTGGGTAAACAAACAAACAAACAAACAAAAACCCTCAGTTATTAATGGATGCTTACACAGCTACAATATTCATTTACAACAGTGTCATCTTTGCTATGTCCACCTCCAGACTGCCACAGAGCTTTGCACTGCTACAGATAGACAAGCACACAGCTCCTCCTATCAGTAACAGGTTTGTAACACTGAACAGTACTTTAAGAGGAATTTAAAGAGGTCAGTAAAGGTGCTTTTCAACAGCTTTGGAATATTAAACAGTTTTCATGAACATGGGTGTGAACCTGGCTGGCACACACATTAAGATAAGCTCTTTAACTAATAATAGTTAGTCGCCTGTTATAATTAACGTAGTGGCAAGTAGATTTCAGGTTGCAGATGGAATATTAAGCTGTTTAGATGTGGAGAACATGGGGCAAACCAGGAGTGTTGCTGGCAGTGCACAGCACCAGGGGAAGCTGAGAGCTTCGAGAACTAATCTGAGCAAGCAAAGACTGAAATGTGGACCAAAGCTGTGGAGTCAAATGGGTTTCCATCCATCCTAAAGATCTGAGCTGAAGATTTAAAGCTGCAGACTGAAGCTGGTCTTATGCTCCTCCGTTTTATGCTGTCTGCTGCACTCCAAGATTTGGGCCACTCTTGCTTGCATTGTTGTTGGTCAGTCCACCAGCTACAGAGAAGAATGAAGTTATAACATTTAAAGATCTGAAAGCGAGAGTTAAAAAATATGAAAAGTGTGCACCGCAGCCACTGTCTGTCGTCAGGGCAAAAAGGAATGGGATTAAATATAATAAAAAGACAGAAAAGCATGCTGTATGGTCAACTGCTGCACAAAATATAGTTGATAATAGGAGTGAGAAGGGACAATAATTTCACCCTAGTGCATGCGGATATCACTTTGTATTAGTTCTGATGGATTGTGCAACAAGAAATCCCAAAGCAGTGCTACTGTGCACCTTTTTTTTACAAAGAGTGTTGCACAGGTGCAGTTTCAGGCCATTTTCTGAGTTGGCATCCTGAAAGAAATACTGACTGACCAGGACACATCGTGTATGTCTCGCACACTAAAAGAACTGCGTGAATTATTGGGAATTACCTTTGAGAAAGTCATGGTGTTAGACCTAAAGAAAAAAACTGGAAGCAAGGTCCAAGCCCAACTAAAATTAGATTTAATACATTCTGGACACTCTGAAGGCAAAGCTTCACATGTTAGGGGTGTAGAGGGTGGATGTTGCTGCATAACAACAGCGTTTTGCAGATGTATTCTCCCCTTATTCGGCTGTACCAATCTCCTGGAGCACCATTTGGAGACGGTTACCCTACAGGTTACCTGAGCATTAGGGACAATTTGTTCAAAGAAATCGTCTGAAATGCTAAAAATGTGAGTAATAGAGTCACACAGTGCCTGGTGTAGCCCCGTAGTTCTTGTAGTAAGGAAACATGGATCTATCACAAGGTGAATGAGGTGTCACAGTTTGATGCATATCTGATGCTTCGGTCGACTGTGTGAAGACTCGCCTGATTCACCTGATTCACTCATATCCATGTGTATCAGGGTCGACGACGATGCTTGGTTGCATCGGGGCAGACAACAGGCTTGGCAGCTTCGTGGCTACAAGATGACTGCAAACAGACAGAACAATGACCTGTGGCATTTGTATAACGTGTATAACTGTGGTCACATACAACATTTGTGCCCAGAAATGCTTTAAAATGTTAATTGGTGTAATAATGGTTCTCAAATAGAAATAAAAACGGGGTTTTTGCAGTATGGTGTGTGGCCGTACTCTTTGTCTGAAGGTTGCTAAACTTTTGAGGGACACTTATTGCGAAACATAAATGGTGACTCAGGTTATGCACTATGCCAGCTTTTCTTTTTGATTACTTCATTGTTCAGTAACTATCAATATGTGAAGAAGCTCTGATGGTAACAATGGAGCTCCAACTTCCAGCGAGAACTTTACAGTCAGTCAAATTCAGACAGATCATTATTACAGTACAGTCGCAGAAACACTATTTTGCAGCCGATGACCTCGCAATTCTAACTTAACTACATCTCAGGCACACTTCCCATAATAGTCAGCATAATTTGGAGTATTATCTAGAAGTGAAAAATTCAAAATGCGTCTAATCTCCATGTTATTGAATGTACTTCTCAAAAATACAGCAGGATATGGTACTCTGTTCTGCATTTCCTCCTGGTTGTTGTAATGAATAATCACATTGCTGGTTTAATGCAAACTTTGCAGCTGAGGTCCTAATCCGATGCACTATCTTCTACATTTTTTTTGCTATAAGGTTACCTAAGGGTTGACAGTGACAAAAATTTGGGAAGCACTGGACTTCCGAATTTTCCCTTAGTATATTTATCTCACTTAAGAGCTCATCTGGTGTTTTAATCTCAGATTCTAATCGCAAGTCTTCAAGAGCTTCGTTTCTGGGTGTCAGCAGAAATGTTTAGTAAAAAGGCGGTTTCAGACTGATCTATCTCCACATTCAAATGTAAAATAAAACTATTTCTGAAAATACACATACATAGAATGTTATTCTTTCTTTAATATTAACATTGTTTAAGTCACCAAACACGTTGTGCAGCATAATAAAGACACACATTGCTGTCCTGGACCAGCTGTTATATGACAGATTGAGAGATGGTCTCATTTTTGTTTCTTTAATGTTGTCTAAAACACAATCATCAGTAAAAAAATCAATTACACATTCATCTGTATTTTGAATGGGGAAATCAGAGTCTGAAAGAGTAAACACAGTGAAAAACATTTCAAACACGTAAAGAAAGGCTACACCATGTCAGAGGAAGCTACGATATCAAATGTATCAGCTACCGTTTCTTAGTCTTCAGCTTTGTACATATGTAAAACTGTATTAAGGTGCTATAATTCCCCTGTTATCAAAACGCTGACAAAAGAGGCATGAAAAATAACAAATCTTTGGCCAGGTAAAATTAACACCCTGCCTTATCATAAGCACAGCAGGACACCACCATCTGTTTTAATCAGCTCTGAATTGGCTTTGGTCATCACAGAGGCTTATCTCCCAGCGTGACCTTCTGAAATCCCCGTTTGTCTGACTGATTTGGAACATAAAACCTCATCCTCAGAAGGCCGTAAAATCAGTTACGTTTCCCACTGGTCAGCTCAAAGCCATTCTCCCCGCTCTCTTGTTGGTCTAAGCGAGAGCCTGCCTATCCCATATTGCTTTATTGGTGATTCAGGGAGGAGCTCCCAGACAGCCAGTATCGTCAGGTGTGGACTTGAGGTTTGTGAGTTGGTGTGAAAAGGTTTTCACCCCCTTTCTGATCTCATATTTTTTGGTGTATTTTCCACATTTAAAAGTTTTAGATGATCAAACGAATTTAAATATTAGAGAAGGATAACACAAGTAAACACAAAATGCAGTATTCCATTATGATTTTTTTTGCTTCTGCGGTCATAAATCACAGGGCCAGAACTCACTTTCTAAAAGTACTCTTATCCCTCCTTAGCATGAATGGAAAATGCAGTTAACATTTACATGATATGCGCAACTTTCTTGCTACTTTGTTGTTATTTTCGTGAATGGTCGGATGATCCGTCACAATGAATTATGGGGCGGCGTTTTCTCCTCCCCTTTCATAAAGGGTGGTCTAGTGTATCCTCTGCTAAAGGAAGTGCTGATGCTTCTTTCCTTAGTATTTGGAGAATATGAACAGCTCTTTCTTACTATGACAGCCACAGAGATACTTCCGGGAGTGAAAGTTATCAGACTGTTTAAAATTATGGAAGAGGATTAAAGTCACTGGGGAAAAAATAAAAATGGGCACATCTTTTTTTTTTTCCAGAATTCTGAGGAAAAAAAGTTAGGTTTCTGCCTTTTTTCTCAAATTTCATTTTTCAGGCATTTTCTCAAATTTTTGTGATATTTCACTCCACACCAGTTGGTGGCGGTAATGCACCATTTTGCTGTTTGACAACCACCAATACATACTATAAACAAAAAAGAAGAAGAAGCTATTTCCGGGTTACGTCTCAGTGAGAACCTTGCTAAGCAAGATGGATTATTGGAATGAACCCAAGGTGTTATATGAGGTTTTTTAAATAAACACGCTTATTCTTGAAGCTGATGTGAAATGGCAGGGGTGTTTCTAGCCACACTCTACGAGTACTCTCCGCTCTTTTATATTAGTGTGGTGTCGCTTTGTTTCGTTGTAACCGCTGCTATGGTCCTCGGCTGGTAAGTTGTATTTAGCTAATATAGTTAGCCACACTTTGATATATAATTTACATTCGTTGTCACCACACAGGTACCCTTCGACTTTATATATTAACGACTTGAATGTGGCCTTCATAATATAACATAGCATGTAGGTCAGACGCAGCGTGCTGTAACATGTCTATCAATCATCTTGTTTATTTTGTGTTGAACAAAATACTGCATTGACCTTTAATTAAAACAATCCAAACTATTTTTTACAGTCCATTAATTTTCACGGTTTCAGAACTAACTGGAGAAACTATCATAATTAAAAATCTGAGTTTAGCATCGTTCACATTGATACTTTAATCATAATGTTTACAGTCACTAATGACTGCCTTAAGACTGGAACTAACGGGCAATAACAAATTTGATGATTTGTTTTCCTCGGTGATGCTGCCAGACAATCATAGCTTCTGCACTGAGCGATCAATCTGGGACTTCTGGGCTTTGTTATGATGTTTGTGTTCCGGTGATGTGGGTGAGCTTGATGGGTGTGAAAATGTTCTTACCACACTACCTGGAGTTATCTACGCTAGTGTACTCACCATTGTTTAAGTTTGGTTTCTGGGTCTCATCGGGGTGCACTTTAGGGCTGTGGGTATTATGAAGATTACTAGAACAACCTCACAAATGTGTGCACACACACACACACAAACAACGAGGTGAAAAAAATAATGGGCTAGTGATGTTTCAAAATAATATTCGTTGTCAGAGGCCTTGACCTGTAGATGATAGTAAATATGACATGTGACTCTAGTAGCGCGGCTCACCATTTAATTCTTTTCTGAGCCCCCGCCCAAAGGAGAAAAAATAAATAAAATCAATGTACAGGAGTCTGGCGTGGTTGTCTTTACTGTCCAAGTGGGTTAATACCGAGTGCTGTGAGCAGTGATGTGTCAGCAGGGAGCACACCTCTGTGGTCTTCCAGGTTTTCTGATTGCCACATGTAGTGAAGTTCTTACGTACAGTGACATCCTCTGTACACTGTGCAGTGTTGCTCGTTACTGTCTTCGCATACTCTTGGATGTTTATGTGGTCTCTCCGAGAGGCTTCACTCAGTGTGCCTAAAGTAGAAGTGCTAAGGCTGCATCCTCTGTTTGTCATTGGCTTTCTGTGCTTCAGTGACGTTTGTAAGCAGGTACAAGCATAATGGAAAGATGATCAGGTGGGGTCAGGGGGTTGCCTTGTATGCGTGTTGGTGGTTTGTGTACACCAAGAGTCCAGCATGTTCACCCCTCTGGTTTTAAAGTTGTATTGCTTGAACTTGGGGAGCGCAGTGGTTAAAATCCCCTCCAATCACTTCAAAGCTGCTAAAGTGTTTAGGTAGAAGCCCAATGTTGCTGTCGTGTAGTCCTCCAAGTGCCTAATTAGAAATAGCCTTAGCACTGGGAGCAGTGTACACAATGGCAGTGATAATAATGGTGAATGGCTGGCATTTACACTGAGGAACTCTGCCATCTGTCATTTTTTCTCCTTGACAATTGGTTTTTCTTCCTCTGAAGTTTTTGCTCATTACCTGAATTTCTTTCATTTTGCAACCTAATAATTGCCTGTTATTCTTGAATATGTTATTCTGTGAAATGGACATGCAACACTTAGAAACAATTCAGACGTTGTATCTGGTTAGCTGATGAAGAAATAACAAATTGCTCATATGACCTGCATTTGAAGCTCTAAAAATTTGGGTCTCTGTATAAAGGACTGTAATTCCTCAATGCATTATTTTTGTTCAATCCTTTTACAATAAAGTTCAGAATCTGCACTTGAGTTGGATTTTTGATTGTTGATAATTGCTTGTAGAAACATTTCCAGGCATAACTGTGTCATGTTCTAGACTACAGTCAACATAGTAGCAGTTAATTCAGAAGAGCATGTTTCTACACAGCCAGCCAGTGTGTGCACCCCTCTGCATTTAACCGAATCGGTTTAGATTTAAGCGAGAACACCACCAGACAGAGAGACTCTGCTTACTCTCGCCTCTTTTCTGTAGGTTTGGCTTTGACGTTCCAGTTATACTTCGCAGCTATGATGAGCAAGAGCCCAGCTTACCAGCCGCTGAGAAACAGATGGTTCAGGTGACCAATCCCTTCGCCCTGGAGTTGGGTTCTGGATCAGCAAGTGTTACCGGTGAGAACAGACGAGGAATGAAATAATGCTGTTACTGGGAAAAGGTATTTTTTGGCCCAAAAGTATTTGGGGATGTGAAACTTCCATGCCTGCATCCAGAAACATCTGTTAACCCTCCTATTCTAGTGTGTTTCCAGAGGATGGTGTCCAGCTGGATGTACTAAATAGAAAAAACTGTAAATCTATTGACTGCCAAGAGAATGTTTCTGTGTAGTCTATATAATTATCAATTTGATTTGCGGTGTGCTGTTCAATGGAAATAACTCTAAATGGTGATGCTGTGGAACACTGAACCTTTTTCTGTTTTGCCTCTGTTCAGACGGTGTGCTGGTGAGACCTTGTTGTCTGGAGTCCTGTGTCCTGAGCTGTTTCTGGGGCTGTGAGGTCAGTACCCTACAAGGAGTGCTACATGCCCACCAGCATGGCATGATGCTCAGCACCCACCAGCATTTCCAGGAAGCCCTGAACCTCCACTACTATTATTGCCAGAAATTCCAGTATCCTATTTGTTGCTAACCAAGTATCTCAGTGGTATGCCTCTGCCAAACAGTTTAGACTTGATCTTTGACCTGTGAGATCTAAAATTGTGTTGTTCAGTCGAGCTGGAGTGTAGAAATTTCTTCTTTCTTTTTTCACACTGTCTGTCAGTCTGTCACTCCCCTTTTCCCTCACTCCTGAACGAAACCCAGAGACACCTAAACTCCCCTACTTGGGGCGTCAACTCGTCCTTGACCCAGGGTGGGCTCTCCACCCTTTTCTGGCCTCAGATTTAGAATGGGAGATTTTTATTCCCGCTATTTCAAACT